ATACTCAGTTGTCAAGACGCCAGGATCAATAATGGCACCTAGTTGTGGAACATGAGGAATTGTCTCTGGTGAAAGTCATTCGTTGGTTTTTCGCCTTAAAGCCTACAAACTTCAAATAGTATCCATGTGGTTTTAAGCAAGCTTGCCTTGAAAGCCTCGTCTCCAAGCAATCCGAGGGTTTGCTGCTGCTGTTGTTGTTGCTGCTGCAGAGGCGGTTGGTACTGTTGTAGGTAGGGCGAGGCTCTGTTGGGCGTTAGGTTGACGACAAACGGCTGCGGCGGAGGGACTCCAGCTGAGACGTCGTCGTCAGGCCCGAGAGGATAGGCCTGGAACTCTTTGGGCGGCTCGCACTGCAGCGGGCCCAGGTCGCCCCAATTGGCGGTGCTCTCCTCAGGACGGTACAGGACGGTCGGGGCGGCCAGACGACCGGTCGCGGAGGCGTCGGCCGATGAAAGATAGTCGAATTGCTGCATTTGTCCGCCGCCAAAACGAGCAGCGCCCGTTTGAGACGTTGAGTAGTGCTGGCCAGTCGAGTAGGGCGGAACCGGAGCTGATGAATTGCAAGAGCAGATGATGTGGGCGCTTGGATAATGATTCTCGAGAGAGAATAATAAGGGAAAAAAAGACCATTTGGGCCAAAAAGTATAGCAAGAGTCATCACGGACAGTTCAACTTCCAGGCCTGGGAACAACAAACCCCAAAACTAAGTTTGCATAACATTCGAAATTATTTCGTAAGTGAGTAGGTTTTCGAGACTAACAGCAAATCAGATATACGAGTTGTATTCAACCTATTTCGTTTGAGGTGATGAAGGATTGGTAGTTGATTTTTCCCACAATCATATGAGTAGAGCTAATCTTTTCCATTGCATTTCACATATCCTTGTTTTCCCAAAATGTCGACCGCATTCTCCACCTCGACTGGGCCTCATCAACACCCTCAGCGGGACACGAACCATGACGCTGCAGCGTCTGATCTCGACATGGTAACCGCTACGCCGCAACAACACGAGTACCCTTGGATCACATGGCAGGTGTGAATTTTAAGGAATGTCAGGCATTTTTCATATCACATTCTGTGTTAGGGGATGTCGATGAAGCAAACTTATATTTGTAATTGCAATCGACGACTACTTTTTTCGTAAGTGAGTAGGTTTGCAAGGGTACCAGTAAATCAGATATATGAGTTGCATTCACCTGATTCCGCTTAAGGTTGATTGTGTGAATTTCAATGAAAACGTCAGCTCTATTCATAGTATTGTGGGAACACAACTTACATATATGATTTACTGGTAGTCTTGAAAGCCTACTCACTTACCTAAAAAGTAGTAATCGTCGATTGCAATTACAAATATATGTTTGCTTCAATGACTATCCCGGCATAGAATGTCATATGGAAAATGCCTGACATCTCTTCAAATTGACATCTGCCCTGTGACTCAACGGCACTCAAGGCATTGTGGCGTAGTGGTTATCGTGTCGAGATCAGACACTGCACTGTCATGGTTCGAGTCCCGCTGGGGGTGTTGATAAAACTAGTGCGAGGTAGAAGCTGCAGTCCAACTTTTGGGCAAGCAAGGCTATGCGAAATTCGCTGGAAACGTCAGCTCTACTCATATTATTGTGGGAAAAATGAACCACCAGACCTTCATCACCTTAAAAGAAAAAGAGTAAATACAACTCATATATTCGAAACTTAGCCAAAGTTACAGGAGACTTATTGTGAAAGGTCTGGCATTCTCGTAGCCGTCTACCTTTCCGGAAATGTAATCTCATCGTGGCTAATCAGCGATATGAGCTCATGAGGATAGTAGTAGATAATGCAATGGCAGGCAGTTGGTGAAAAATTGCAACTATTTTATGGAAAAAATAAATAGAGAATGAGGTGGATAACCACATGGATAGAAATAAAGACAGATGAATTGTGAATGTTATAGTTGGCGGCGAAATCGAGGACTGTATGAAATATTGAATAGACGAGAAGAATAGAAGATAGTTCCTAAAGTGATGATCAAGTAAGGTATTAGGCGAAAATTAGATCGTCAAGCGATCTAAATAAATCTGTTGAAAAGTATTCTGGTATAATTTACGATGCCGAAAATGTGACGCCGAATGTCTCCAAATAGGATGTAGGACCAGGATAACAAAAGTAATATTAAAAATTAATGTTATTTATTATTAATTAGCCTTTCGTTCATAAGTAGGCTTTTGAGAAAACGAGTAGATCATATACATGAGATGTATTCAGCTTATTTCGTTTAAGATGTAAGAGAATTGGTAGTTGAATTGCCCCACAATGATATGAGTAAACATGACGTTTCCAATGAATTTCATATGGCCTTGCTTTCTCAAAAGGTATTCTCATCTAGGATTGACTGCAGTTTGGACCGCGCCTAGGTCCTATCAACAACCCCAGTGGGACTCGAACCATGAAAGTTGAGCGTCTAATCTTGACACATCAACTACTATGCCACAATACCGCGAGTGCCATTAGGTCACAGAGCAGATATGAATTTCAAGCAAGGCGAGGCATTTTCGTGTATCACATTCTGTGGGGAGATTGTCAATGAAGCAAAGTTGTATCCGTCATAGCATTGCTTATTTTTCGTTTCGTGACTGCCAGTAGACCATATATGGAATGTGTTAATGCCATTTCGTTTAGGTGATAAGGAGACTGGCAGTTGAATTGTCCAACAATGGTGTGAATAGACATGACATTTTCATTAAATTTCCATTTAAAGAGGCTATGCGAAATTCGATAGTAGCGTCATGACTACTCATATCATTATGGGAAAATTCAACTACCAGTTCTTCATTAGCTTAAACAAAACAGGGTGAATAAATCTCATATAATTGAAACTGAGTGCCATCGAGTTATACCGGTTTAGCGAGAATGCCCACAATAGATTTCAGTGGCAACCACTTGATTACAATTTCACTTTTATCATACATCCCAAGAGGCCATTCTCATCCGGGCAGCATTGCTGCCTCAACAACGTGGGTTTCGAACCATGGAAGTTCAGGTTCAGAAGCAAACGTGCAACCCCCAAGCCATATGTCTTGTTTTTCGTGTCTACCAGTAAATCAGTAATATGAGATGTATTCACCCAATTTAGTTTGAGGTGATGAAGGACTGGTGGTGTTGATAAGAACAGTTGATGCGAGGCCGAAACTGTAGTCCACTCCAGCCGGGATGAGAACAACTTTTGGGAAAGCAAAGCTATGTGAAATTGAATAGAAACGTCAGCTCCACTCATATCATTGTGGGAAAATTCTTCTTCTACCAGTCCTTCGTCACCTTAAACTAAATTGGGTGAATAAAGCACATATGATCTTAATATGATATGGACAGAAATGCGCTAGAAATAATAAAGGAATCACTAGAAACTCGTTCTTTGTGGAACGAAGCGAAATGACATTTTTTGACTGGCATTAAATTGGCGGTAGAAGCCAACGATGTAAAGTAGCGACGATAGGTGTGGGCTGAAGCCTAAGCTATAGGAACGGTTGAAAGTGCCAATCAAGTTGTAATTTAAAATAAATGGCAAATAAACGATCACAATGCATTTAACTACATGAGAAATGGTAATTAATTTGATAACACATGCTTTTCTCTCCCACTGAATGTGTTGATAGTCA